GGCATATGACCTGCCCGCGAGACCATCGAAAACTGGAGTTAAGGCCCAGTCAAATCCTTCACCCGCTTCCATTTTGCCGTCAACTATTCTTCTCAGTGATTGAATATGACCACATAGTCGGAATTCACGATGCACAATTGTATCAGCGACAGAGATCACAATATCGGCAGCGATACCACCAAGCTCACCTCCCGCATAACCGCTAATGGGGCCACCCGCCGTAAATCCTCTAATTCCTCCGGCCGCAACGCCAACAGATCGCGATGCCGATTTTATAGCTTCATTGCAGCCTTCCATATCGCCAAGTATATAGTAGTGAATTAAACCTTTCGCATGACCAACTACTGGTATTGAATCAGCAACGTTTGACATATTTTTAAGAAAGTATATCTGCGATTCTTTTGCAAACCCGATTTTGCCTTGCGTCAGTGCACCGAAAGCAACAGCTTGCAATAATACAGGACAGCCTTTAACAAAATTTTTATGGGTCCTTGCTGCACCCTCACTATTACCAGCAATTAACTGGACAACACTTTTTGCTTGTGAAATAACAGGGAGACTATCTGTGTTACCCATTTTCATATAGATAATAATTTTACCTTACATATAGCCGCAACATCAGTATCAGTAAAATATTTTTATAAAATCTGTCAGTTATGATCTTCACCTTCGGTTAGATCATATCATCACTTCTGCTATTCTTCTTATAAACATGCATATATATACGCGTGCGCGTTATTCTCTATGTTTTGGGATTTTCCCCATATATAACTTTCTCGATTCTGTTTCTTTCCTTTCTGTTGAATGATGGGTTTTCTCCCTATTCCATCTGGGGAATAGCAAATGCGGTGTTCATAAACCTATACAGTATTGGATTTTATAATCAGTTTTCATTTGAGCTGTTTTTTGGCGATACTGTACATAAAATAGTGCTATTTATCTAAATAGACATCTAACAAGTACCGTATCTTTATCATCCACATTTGTCAGCATACAGACACATTTGACAAAAGAACGAAAGAAAAAAAATCATAACTGCACCGGTCGACGTTCTTGTGAGTATTCTTGCAAAATTCTTGTTTCTTTACATTTCAGACAAGAAGCTTGTAAAATATTTTACATGTATTTTTATCACAAGCACCTTGCAGGAAACCGCTTTCTTGTGAGTGCATACAAGAATCGCGAGACGGATTCTTGTCTGAATTCACAAGAAAGCGATTTCCTGCAAGCAGCTTGTCTTCTAATTCTTAAAAGAATCTTGCAAATCAAAAGAATGTATAATAATTTTTCTTTCGTCTTCTTTTCTTTTCATATATATAGCAACTGGACGCTCTGATGCCAATACAGGCACAAGTAAAGACTCGATTGTCTCTCTATAAGAATCCTATGAGATTTAAAAGACTTTTTAAAGACATCCATGTATAGTACTAAGCTATATTACGTAACTTATATATAGCACGAGAATCGACAAAACAAATTGATGCTTGTGTGGTCACGAATCTTGCCACTTCAGACAAGAATTTTTAACGAAAAAAGATAGAAAATTAATAAAAATTAAAAGAAATCTTGTCTGATCTATCACGTCAAAATTGAGAATTCTTGTCTGAAATGGCAAGAGACAAGAATCTTGCAAGAATACCCACAAGAACGTCGATCAGTGTGTTTGACAGAAGAGAATAAATCATGTACTTGTGGGTCGCCATTAGAACACGAAAATTTTACGTTGACTATTTTCTCATTTTTGAAGCCATTTCTCAGCGTGGAAAAATAATTTTAAGTTTTTCGAATAGAGGAGAATCAGACCGACCTTTCTGTGGAAAAATATTTAAGATTTTGTCCGTTTTTATTATGTTTGAAATAAAAACACAACGTGGGTTATTTAACACACCGCACAAATCTACTAAAGATTGGTAATGTAGTTTAAAGAAAAAGATTTTTGCTTTAAAAATTGAATATAAAAGTTTTAGCTTTTTGATTGTCGGCTGACCGAAATCAGTACAGATAAAATCAGATGTTTCTTTGACAATAGTGAACAAATGTTATGCGCTCACTCTTTATACACTTTTTCAACAACAATACATAGTACTATTGCGCGGATATTGATAGTACAAGAGAAAAAAATGCCTTTATTGTAGCTACATGTGCACCTTTGGACTAGTTCATACTAGTCTTTTGGACTAGTATAAAAGTAAACGTATGAACTAGTCCAAACAATACAAATTATTCTCAACAAAATGTATCCACATATAACACAAAACCACCAGTGTAAA